ATTACTGGATCACGTGGTAATTCTATTTATATTATCTCAAGGAACCACCATGCTGCTTCATTTTGACTTTTGAATCCTCAAAAGTAATCCTTTTTAAAAATCTCGTTGAGGGGCGCCTGGGTGGCGCAGTCGGTTAAGCGTCCGACTTCAGCCAGGTCACGATCTCGCGGTCCGTGAGTTCGAGCCCCGCGTCGGGCTCTGGGCTGATGGCTCAGAGCCTGGAGCCTGTTTCCGATTCTGTGTCTCCCTCTCTCCCTGCCCCTCCCCCGTTCATGCTCTGTCTCTCTCTGTCCCAAAAATAAATAAACGTTGAAAAAAAAAAAATTTAAAAATCTCGTTGAATACAGCAGGAACAGGGACGAGCAGTGCAAGAGGTTTGCCAGATGTAGAAACACTCAGAAATGGCAGTGGAAGCCTGGGAAGGCTTCTTGGAGGAGGTAGAATTATCTGACTTCTCTGAGCGGCCGTCTCCTCGTGAGTGGAATGGGGATAAAACTACCTTAGAGTTTGGACAAGTTTCATTCATTCATTCATTCATTCTTTCTTTCTTTCATTCACTCTAGAAAGATTTATTTCTAGGGCACCTATTTGGCCATCAGCCCTGAGTGAAATGAGAAACTATTGGAGGGTTTGGGGCAAAGGAGCCACATAATCCGACTTGGGTTATAGAGCATCACTCTGGCTGCGGGTTGGGCACGGTTGGAGGAGGGGCAGAGGCCAAAGCAGGAGCCAGTTTGGCAGCTGCTGTCCCTGTGGCATTCGGAGTAGGCCTGAGTAGGACCCGTACAGCTCACACCTTCCCGAAAAACCCTCGGTCCTTCCTCCTCCTCTGCCCGGCACCCTCTCCCCACAAAACTTCCCCTCACACTTGCCTCTGAGAGCAGAGAGAGGCCGCGCCTCTGTAGAGGGCAGCTGTTCCCCCTCACGGCCCTCTGGAGCCACCAGGAGCCCCGAGGTTTCTATCATCCTCTCTCCGAGGCTCCTGCAGCTCTCAGGAGTCTCTGAGGCCCGGCTCTCTGACCTTTTAGAAAAAGACAGAGAAGATGCCGTTGGCTCCTTTAGCACCTGTGTGCGGGGCCTCCGAATTGCAGAGGAGGGTCCCCTTTATTCCCAAGCTCCTAGGGAAGAGGGCAGGGGGAGAATCTGGAGGAAGCCTGGCCACGGGGACTGAGAGCCCCTCACCTCCTTGAGGTGGGGCCGTTCGTGCTGGGGACCCTCGCATGCTGTATTTCGTCTGACTCTCCCAACAGCTCTGGGACACAAGTCCCGTTTATTAAGTCGTTTTTCCTGAAGGAGAAGTGAGACTCCAAAGTTTGGTGCCATCATAGAGACATCAGTTGTCAGAGCAAAGGGGCCCCAGGAGTTTATCTCACCCAGTGGTTCTGTGCCCTGGCTGCACATTACATGACCCGAAAAGCTTTTTTTTTTTTTTTTGGATACCGGTTTCCAGGCCACACGCCCAGAGATTCTGAGTTTAATTTAAAAGCTCCTCAGATGATTCTAACGTATAGGCATGCTTAAAGACACACATCGGATCCACCTTCTTCCTCCTTTTGCAGACGGGACACCTGAGGGCCTGGGAGATGACCGGACTCCCCTCAGGTCACCCTGTGTCGGTTGCCCTTGCCCGGGGCTCCCGTAGCAAATTGCAACAAGCTGACGGCTTAACCCAGGGAGATTTACTGCCTCACAGTCCTGGAGGCCAGAAGTCCCAAATCAGGGTGTGGGCGGGATGTGCTCCCTCCTCAGGCTCTGGAAGAGGGTCTTCCTCGACTCTTGCCTACTTCTGGGGTTGCTGGCAATGCCTGCATCTGTTGGCTTACAGACGCATCGCTCCAATCTCTGCCTCTGTCTTCCCATGGCCTTCTCCCCATGTTCGTGTGCCTGTGTTCAAGTTTCCCTGTTCCTAGAAGAACACACTGGATTCGGGGCCCACGCTCATCCAGTATGACCTCACCTTAACTTGATTGTGTTGGCCAAGATCTTATTTCCAATAAGATCCCATTCACAAGCTCTGAGTAGACATTAATTTGGCGGAGGCGGGGGAAGGGGGGATGGGGTAGATACTCTTCAACCCAGTACACACCCCATCATTAGTGGCAGAGCCCGGACTCCAATCCAGTCTCCGAAATCCAGTCCCGGGCTCGGCCAACCACACCAGCTAGCTTGGCCCCTCTTAATCTTTCTCTTCTCGCCGATGGCCTCCGTTGAATCCCCTCCCCACCCTTCAGCAGCCCCCAAACGGGCCCCTTCCTGGTGGTAGGACATTGTCTTCTAACTGTGGAATCCCAAAGAGCAGAGACTAGGTCCAAGACCTCTCCAGGGAGCCCAGTCCAGGACTGAGGGGTGCCCCGGAAAGACTTGATAAATCAAGCCAAACTGAACTGAACGGATGAGCGTTCCTTTGTAAGGTAGTGACCACCCCACTGACAGAAGCGGCCAAGCAGAGGCTGGCTGACCATACGTTCCTATGAGAGGTGCTGCTATTCTAGAAGACTCAGTCGACACCGAGACTTGGAAGAGCATAAGAAGTAGACTAACGATCTGGGCTCTGCCACTTATTAGCTGTGTGACTATGGGTGGGTTATTTAACCTCTCTGTGCGTTGGTTAGTAAAAATAACAGTATCCATTGCAAAGGGTTGTGGGGATTGAATAAGATAATGTGTATAAAATCCTTGCCCTGACATGTATTAGGTACTTGGTAAATATGCAGCTTTAAAAAAAGGAGAGGCCTGCTCCAGATCATCCGGAAGAAGGATGGTGAAGCAGGTGGAGTATTTTTAGTAACAGTAAAAAGAAGAGGGGCGCCTGGATGGCTCAGTCGATTGGGCGTCCGACTTCGGCTCAGGTCATGATCTTTGGTTGACGAGTTCGAGCCC